ACGGCGACGACGGAAGCCACACTGGCTTTGCGGCAGGAGACCCTGTTCCAGAAGGTTGTTCAGACTGTTCAGAAGAGCGCGAGTGAAGATCTTCCCGACAATGTTCATCAGGAAATGGTTGGGCGGTTGTCGTAGAGGTGGCTATTCCCTTTGCGCTTATAGCGGTGAACGATTGTTGCGTCCTTGAAATCCTGCGGGACTTATCCTTGGCGCCACATCCACTGGAAGAGTGCCGTCCGATGATTTATGAGTTGGGGATCCCAGCAGGGGTTGCGTCTGACCCGGACGCTTTGCCGCTGGAGAGTTGCTGCACGGCCCTGAGGGTTTCGTGGAGAAAGGGCGGGAGTTCGAGGTCGGCATTGGTCTCCACTTGGGGCAGGCAGGCAGTGACGGCGTCGGAGATGGTGGAGGGACGACTGAGGACGCCTCGGAAGTGCTCGGCTCATCGCTAAAAAATTTATGTCTTCTCGGTAAGTAGAGTACTGCCATCGGCGCAAAGAATAGGAGCAATTGCTTTGATTGGGGATGCGTGGGCAGCCTTGATCGCGGAGATGAAATTCTTCTATTCGTTACGATCCGCGCAACCTTGGATCTCCTTGGCCTTGCGAGCCGCCCAAAGGTCCTACGTCTCCCGCAGCCGCTGTTGCACAAGGCGGCGACTACGGCAAAAGGCCGCTTCGTTGTCTTCAGTAGGACAGTTGACGCAGGTTTTGTGCGGTCGATTCTTCTGGGTGAGTAAGCTGATGATGGCGGCGTCATTACCATCGAACCAGTCCGGATTTTGACGACGTGCGCGACCGAGGACAGCCAGGGCTGTCGACTGGACTGTGCCCCGGAGTTGGCACCATCGGTTCTCAACGCAGGCGTTCTCCTCGATGGTGACGGCGATTGGGGTGTTGGATAGCAGCTCAGCTAGTCCATTGCTGAAATGGAGATGGTGAGCAGGCAAACAAAGGAAAGCAATATTCAGCTTGCCTGGAGGTCGCTTACTTTTAGGTCTCCTGTGATTCTGTAGGCGAATCCGCATTTTGGAGATGGCGAGAAGATGGTCGGTACACCCGTCAGCACCCGGGATCGCCTTTGTCACCAGCACGTCCCGCTGGTCTCGCCTCCGGACGAGGACATAGTCCAGCAGGTGCCACTGTCACAACCGAGGGTGAATCCAGATGACCTTTCGCATCGGCAGGCAGAAGTAGGTGTTGGTCAGGGTGAGCCGGTGGTCTACGCGGGTTCGACGGCTGATGCTGGTGGCGAATTTGTCTCCCCCGAGAGGCGGGCGGAGGCTCATATGGCGATCGTTAGTGCCCTGCGACAGACAGGGCAGTCGTCCCACGATGTCAGTCCAGATGGCAAAGGCGACGCCCGCGTACCGTCGCTCTGCCTTGGGCCGACCGTTCCAGAAGAAGGTATGGCCGACACCCACCTCCTCCAGTTGGCCCTGTTCGGAGAACCGGGTCTCGCTGAGTGCTGCGACGTCCGCCTTGTAGCGCGCCAGTTCCCGAGCCACTAGCGCCGTCCTCCGTTCCGGTCGGCTGCTCTTCGGATTGTTCCAAATGGAACGAACATTCCCGGCTGTCAGAGAGGGCGGACTCACCCTACCAGCCTCTGGGGTGGGGCGACGAGGAGGAGGAGGGGGAGGAGAGAGTGTTGTTTCATGTTTGGTTGTCTAGACCGTGAGTTTTGCGTCCGAGTCCGCGGTCAGCCTGCTGACGGCGTGGATCCCCAACATTTGTGCGTGTTTCGCTAATATTCTGCGCTGAATGGCACAGCTGCGAGGGGTTCGGCTCATCAGTGGGTCCGCCAGCATTCTCCGTCTGTTTTATGGTAGATACTCCAATCTAGAAATGGTTGCCTTTTAATTTCCTCAGAGCCTAACTGCGAACTTGGAGTAGATCAGTTTATTCAAGGTCTATAGGTTCAGGTCGAAATTTCTACGTATGAATATTTGGCCGAAGTCCATTAGCCACAGCGGGATAACCGCGAACTACCGTGTCGTGGAACCGTGGAATAATCTGCCCGAGACGGTTGTCATGTCTCAATCTGTGGCGACATTTAAATGTAGGCTTGACAAACATATGCTACAGCACCAAGCGGACTATGTGACTTTTTAGCCATGAGACCAGTGACATATGTGAATCAATGCATGCATACACTTACTGCTGTAATTTCTTAACATTCTGCTAGTTTATCGATTTTTTATGTACAAATAGGGAGTTCAAAGGCGTAAGCCTATTTCCCTCAAATACACTGACTGACTGACTGACTGATTAACTGCCAACAGGCAGCTAGTAGTGTATTTTAGGGTAAGAGGATGCCATACTAGCAGCACAGGTACTGGCTAGGATTCTATGAGTAATCACCAAAACTATAGCGACTTGAAGTTCGGTCAGAATTTCTAGGTCATTTGCAGTGATAATTATGGGGCAAGAGTTGGTGTCCTCCTCGTGTACGCACTACCTCCTGTCTATAATTTTAGCACCTACGAAAAATGGAACACAGAGATAGCAGTAGCTGAATTACCGCAGTGTCCACATGTGCGAGCTCGCGTTACTTTGCTGGATGCCGCCAGAGACCTTCGAAAGTACAATACTCCAGGTTTGCGTCTGCTTAGCATGGAAACATATTGTCTAGTAGGCTTCCTCGGTTGGACATTAGTCAGATTAAAATGAACCAAGAACAAGCCCAAGTTTTGGTAGTTGGCCCGATGAGAGGATTAAAAATCGCAGCAATAAACTACACAAGTTATCAGTCAGACAGAGATATGGGGGTTTTCAAGCCTTAACAGTTTTTAAATTCACTCGTCGAGGTACCTCAGTGTTTCTTCAGCAGCATCTTTCATCAGATCTTGCAAGAGTAGGCTTAACCCGGAAAATCAAATTTTCCATCTACGAAGTCACCACACCTTCATATAAAAATGAAGTGTCAAACGTTAGTCTCTACCCTAGTTTTAGTAATCCCATGAGGGAAAATGGTGATATTTAACACTACTTTGAAAGTTTTCGGACAAAAGCCTGCGGTTCCTACCACGGCAGCAGCAACAGCAGCGGCAGCAGCAGCAACAGCAGCGGCAGCAGCAGCAACAACAGTTACTCCTATTACAGGGTCACCTCGGCTTTCCTCATCGATCACAAATATCCTGCGACATAGCCCTCGTGAACACAACTGGTATATCACTTAGTTACCATTTTTTAATTTTCACAGAAATTTTCCGCTAACTTGGAGCAAATCAGTCCAAAGCAAAATTCCCAGGTTCAGGCAGAAAGTTTATATAGATATTTGGGCCGAAGTCCATCAGCCACCGCTGGATAACCACGTAATATTCGTAGCCTGCCAACAGGCAGCCGGTACATCGGCTGCAATATGCTCCATACTTGGGCCTTTGGCCAATAATTGTGCTGTCAAGTGTGGTGTATCATGTAATCTAGGCATATATCACTTAGTCTTATTTCTCCCTTTATAGATATAGGCATCCACCGCCTGAATATAACCAGAGTGTAGAATGCAGGCATCGCTTGCTTATCCTTTCGTCCCTTGTTCCTACAGGTTATTCATGCAGTGGTTCAGAGTCCCCATTGGTACAAAAAACCCCCCACCTGGTTAACTTGCCCGTTTACTGCTGAGAAGGACACTGAGGAAAAGGATAGGAAAAATACCTGAAGTACTGCCCCTTGAAGGTTCGACTTTGGTCTGCGTGAGTGCCTTCACACGCAAGTGCTCAACTGTGATAAATTTCTGTCCATCGTTCACCCCCCCCCCCTTCAGTCCTTCGTCCCGATTCTTCTTTTACTTCCTGTGCGCACAAGCGCGTTGAGGCAAACGGAGCTGTGTGCCAATTTCGAGACTCCTACACCCAGCAACGTATCGGTCCTCTCTCTCTGTCGTTTTTTGCCGTTCTCTGGGCCTCTCGAGCAGCACTGCTCCTCGGGATTCGCCTGTGGGTGCTGTCGGAGCGGTTAGCACAGTTGCTGGGCCAGTCATCCAGTTTCTCCCGGCATGATGTAAGCAATCACACACTCGGGTGAGTGTGTGCGTGCCCTACCTCCTCCAGAGAATGTCCCTGCATTTGGGCCATCCCTGCTTGCTCCTCCGGTAGGGAGGAGAGGGAGAGGACTGAGAGCCGGGTGGCAGGGGGGGGGGCGGTTGAAGATGTTGCGCAGTCGATTTACTCGAGCAAAGCAGTTGGCGGGCAATCGGCGTGTATGTGGAGGGCGTTGGGTGGTCAATCAGAACAGCGCGCTGCCAACCTTGCCAGAAATGCCCAATTTGGGTCCGCTGGCGCCAGCAAGAATGTAACCGGACACGCCAGGAAAGAGCAAGAGGGAAAAGAGAAAACAGAGTCCCTCTCTCAGTCCTTTGAGGGCGTCGCCGTTGCCAGTGCGCAGCGGAGGGAAACGATTTGCACACGCATATATTCCCGGTTTGTGATGCTGATGTGAGTACCCTGTTAGTCGAGTTTCATTGACTTTCGGTGTGGCTAATTCTCGCAGTGGGCAATACAATTTTGAAGCCGCACATATTTTTATTCACATCTCAACTCGAGAACTAGGAAAACATCGTAGACGCATGCCACAGAGCTCCTGCAGGCGGGTGCTGCAAACGCAAATGGATTGGTTCGCTAATTGGCCTCCCGACGTCCTTGTTTCGAATTACACCTGGGATACCATCATCAGAGCACCATAATTCGAGGTATCATAACTGTTTATGGGGAAATTTACAAACAAAATATAGGAGCTAGAGCACTTCCAGACACTGCACACAGAATAGCTGCGAACATTTTACATGGCGCGTGTCTTGATTTTGGCTGCTGCATCTGATGTGCTACGATGAAAAGATTCTGAACTACGGAGGAGGCCACACTGTCGTCCTCTTTGGCACCGACAAATGCCTTAGGAATGAACTCAAGCAGAATTCCTCAAAGAACCAGGTTACAGTGAAGAAGGGAGGACAGAACTTGTGGGACACATCTGCGATTTGTCTTTATGAATCATGCGTTTGAAGGCTGGCTCGAAGCCATTCTTCGCCCGTCACGTGCGTGAAGTTCGGTTGCTCAATCAAAACGTCATCGTTCCCGTGGACATTTGACACGGCAACTCATCAAACGAGACATAGATGCGGCGGTTGGATCAGAAAGCAATTTCAATGAGCAAAAGGGCTGTTTGGATGTGCATAAGCTGGTACGAGGAAACTGGAGATTACAGGTAACCTCGAGAAGTGGATGCCCTGAAAAAATGACCTTCAGAAATTATTTGTTGTTACTCTGGTGCACAAAGGCAAACCCATGTACTTTCGAGCCTTAACTCCATAAACGTTCTCAGTTTTCGGCGTCGTTTTGCTCACCGCACTTTTAACGAAAGGAATCTACAGTAAAGACGTCATTTTCATGTTTTACAAATTCAGTAAGCCCACATGAAGGAAGAGGCATGTTAGGAGAGGGTGCATGCGGCATGTTACCATACGAATTCGAATTGCTTGGACTGATGGAAGACTTCGTGTTTGATGGGCAAACATCAAGTGCTCCATGATGCGGCCCCAGCATACGTTGTCAGAAGTGATATTGGTTCCGATCATTTGTGGGGTGTCGTCTGAATAATTGAATAGATTGGTTTCTGCCCCCCAAACGGGCCACCTGGTAGATGCGCCGGACCAACACGGGGGCCATATGGGATTCTGGTAGGCGTTATCGCATCGCGCAACATAACAAATGCCAATATTTCCTGGGTGCGGTGGCAGATCCAGTTGCCGACGTACGTCGCGCACATTGGGACCCCTGCCGTCTCCCTATTGTTGTTGTTGCTGTTGGTCAAAGCCTGGTCATTTGCTGTGTGGACCAGGAGGTGTGGAGTGGAGCGCCAAAGTGCGGGCTCGCACGTGCCAGCCACCTGCGCCCTCTCCCGCATCCGGTCTTCTTGACTCTGTCTTGACACCGGGTCCAGGTGGGATAGGAGGAGAGGATGCGGTGGATGCTGCGCAAGCCTTCTCTCACCATAAACTAGTTCACGCGCACTTCACCGCGCCTGCTTCCCCAGACTGTGGAGCACATGGTGGACATCACTGGCAACGACGGTCGAACTATCGGATAGATTGGTTTGAAATCTTAACTATAAGCGTATTTTGTAAAGAATAGTAACATTCTGCAGCTCAGTTTGTTACCATGGACGGCTGACAGGATAGTCCGGCCTACTCAGGACGAGACCGCCAGACTTCATTGTTCTTCTGTCCTGGAGCGTTTTAAGGTTATCCGTAGCGTACGTTCTAATTATTCTGCCAAATCTGAGCCCACTCGAAGTTACCTGAGATTGGCCTGGTCGCAATGTGAATGGGGAGGATAACTTATTTGTTACGACTGAAAAAGCCCTCTTTTTTGCCATACTAACATCGTGATTATGAGTATGACACGTCAGAATGGAGAGGAGTAATAGACAAGAAGTTGTAAGGTAAAGTATAACGGTATTCTGAATATAAAGGTGTTTGATGGTCAGTTTCTTATTCTTTATTTGTGGATGGATTGTT